AATATAATCCGATTGAGTTGGTCTGGGGCATTTCTAAACAATACTATGATCGTCATATTGGAGAACATGGACGTGGAGATGAAACAGTGAAAAAAGTTTGGGGCGATGCATTAGCTGAGGCAACACCTGCAGTGTGGGCGAGTTGTGTTAACCATACTGAAAAATTAATTCTTGACGACTGGGCAAAAATGGTCACATATGATGAAAATGAAAATAGGATTATCATCGCTTTGGCGGAAGATTCCAATGATAAAGACAGTTCCAGTGAAGACGCTGACTTATTAGCTAATTAATCAAGGTTAGTACGTTGTAACAGTTCAGAATTCGCTACAGTGCTTAAATCTTAAAAAATCTGTATCATTTTTTAAATTAAAGTGGGTTAAATAATTAACACTTTTTTTGGTATATTTCAAAATCCTTTTAAAATGTACTTTTCGTTATATCCTGTCCTATTGTACTGCAAGCTAGAAAAATACTTCTTCGCAATTTATACATATATTCCGTCATTAGAAATTTAATGAAAAATAATTTATAATTTTCTTTTATAACTATTATTTCGTTTGACATGCTACATTTTGCTCCTCCACTGGAGGAGGTAAACGAATCGAGCTTAGACAAGGAAAGACAGAAGAAACAACTTATTGCAAGTGTTGTACACGCACACGCCAAGAACGATGAAAACGATTATACTTCCGTATCAGTTGTGTACAATTGTCTAATATATTTAATTAACATTATTATTTTGTGGAATATTAGACTTAAAGAGTTATTTTATAAAACTTATATTATTAATACTAACAAATGTTTTTGGTAATTTAATCAATATAATTCTAAAATTTCCAATATAATGATGATTACATTTTTCTGATTATTACACCATGTTTACGCCTATAAAAGGCGAGCAGTTTTGTATGGGTTTCGCATTATTAGCAGTCTTAAGAAAATTTTCCTAGACTATAACAAAGCATTTGATACAGTAAAATATAGGCCACTGATGCAAATACTGGAAAATAAAAATATTGATACAAGGGACATGCGAGTGATAAGGAATCTATACTACAAACAAGAAGCTACAGTACGAATTAACAGCTCGATATCAGATAGAATACAGATCAAAAGAGGTGTTCGGCAGGGCTGTGTGTTGTCTCCAACCTTGTTCAATGTCTACGCAGAAGAAGTTATTAAAAAAGCTCTTACGAACGAAAAAGCCGGAGTAAAGATCAACGGTCACCCCATTTGCAATATCCGATATGCTGATGATACCGCGCTCATAGCAGAAAAGATTGACGACCTACAGAGATTACTAAACAAAGTGGTAGAAGCAAGTGAAGAATTTGGTCTGTCACTGAATACAAAGAAGACCAAATTCATGATAATTACAAAGAAACGTATCAATAATATCAACTTACATGTAGGACAGAATCTCATTGAACGAGTACAAAATTACAATTACCTCGGAACAAATATTAACGAGTCAAACGAATACACCAGAGAAATAAGAATAAGAATAGAGAAAGCCCGCAGTGCCTTTAACAACATGAAACAAATGTTGTGTAGCCGAAACCTAAGCCTAAAGCTGAAAATACGAATGCTTAAATGTTATGTTTTCTCGGTCCTGTTATATGGGGTGGAGGCGTGGACACTAAATAAGCAATGTATGGGTAAGCTGAAGGCATTTGAGATGTGGGCGTACCGAAGAATGTTAAAAATCTCCTGGAAGGATAAGATAACTAACCAAGTTGTATTAGACAGGATGAACAAACAAAAGGAGGACGTATTGAGTGTTAAAATGAGGAAACTACAATACCTGGGACATATTACACGTGGGAATAAATATCAACTGTTACAACTAATTATGCAAGGAAATATTGAAGGTAGGCGCAGCATAGGTAGGAGAAGAATGTCATGGTTGAGAAACCTCAGCGAATGGTTTGCTTGCACTTCCATACAATTGTTCCGAGCGGCAGCCTCCAGGGTCAAAATTGCCATGATGATAGCCAACCTTCGTAGCGGAGATGACACGTGAAGAAGAAGAAGAAGGAAAATTTGAATTCTAAGGTTGATGTTCTGGAAATTTTAAAAACAAGTGACGTCACTTTGTATAAATCGTGACGTACAAGTGTTTTACTTTGAAAAATGGTACACCTACATTATATAATAGTAAAATTGAAGACTTTCCCTTTTATCCTAATATAGCACATCTTATGCTTAGTGTCTCTCAATGTGAGAACATTTTGTTTTAATTTAAGTTCAATTATGAATCCCCCTCCAAAATATAATGGTTTCCATGAAAACTATAATAAACTGTATATCTCCTATTTCTATTATACCATTTCCTGTAGTGCCACCATGTAGGGTTAATATTATTATTAACTTTCTTAATACTTCCTGTCTGTATAATGTTCGTATGTTTCATGTATCTAATCCAGATTGTCGTTCTAAGATCCGTTCCGTTTTTAGTTCTTGAGCTTTCGTAACAATTTTTTGTAAGTTGTTATCCAATGGAATTGGTTGTTAGTCTTGGATTTCTAATAGAAAAATGTCTAGTAGATTAGAAACGTCTAGTAAAATTAATTTTTAAAATTAATGACGAAAAAATCAACGAAATGAAGAAAAATGTTTTCCTAAAATAAAAAATAAAACAAAAATAGAAATCGTGATAACTACTCGTAACGTAATTCCAACGACATATCTTTCACTACCTGAGGCAGAAAGAGATACAGTGGATTTAGCTTAGATAGGTAGTGAAGGAAGAACTGACAAAAGAGTCAACGATATACCATATGAGATTTTATTGCCACTGTTTGACTGCAGCTTTACCAGGTTATGTTATTGACATTTTACGATTAACTTCTAAACGCCAGGGGAAATGTTTTTATATCTTATTCAATAAACTGGAGAGCATGCAAGCGAGAAGCTGAGCATGCAGGAATTTAAATATGATATTGCTAATATGGTGCTTTGTACCTACTATACCGGCTTGTACCGATGCTTTTGAGCCATCAGCGTATCAGATCTGCTTGTATGGGTACACTTTTCTTTCAGTTTCCCCTGCCTGGCATAACAATTTTGAATTTATTGTCAAAGTTATATCTTGTTTTAGCTCTTAGATTAGCTTTCTATTCTTAACACTATACGCCTAGCTTATGTATTGCAGATCTGTGCATCACTGATCTGACTTCTCTCTGTATAAAGATATTAATTAGTAGTAGATTCAGCAGGACTTCCAACGTCGCTGTATGGGTTGTTTTTATGGTCCCCATAATACACAGTCATGTTAGCCTTTGTGTATTACTTAGCAGCCTTATTGTAGCATACTCTAACTACAGAGTCATTTTGTGGTTAAGTCCCCAATTCTTACCACACATTCTTCTACATCTACCCAGGGACATAGCTTTCTGTGTGGTTTTCAGAATGTGAGTATTCCATGTAAGCCTATGATCAAAATACACCCCAAGGTATGGGCAAATTTCTTTGGCAAATAAAATCTCTGTTCCTCCCAGCTCCGGTGATTTTAGGCCTCGCTGTTTTTTGGTTGACGATTTGTGTTTTCTGGGCATTGACTATTAGTATCTCTTGTGTACACCAGTCGTCAACAATTTTTAGGGCTGGTTGCATTCTCCCAGACACCACCTTGGCAAATTTGCCTCTGACTAGGATTGCAATATCGTCAGCGTATTCTAGACAGTAAAAGTGTATTGTTGGCAGATTTTTGAGATCAGTCACCAAGGTTGCTCAAATAAGAGGTGACAGAACTGCCCCTTATGAACAGATTTCACCTGCTCTTGCTTTGATGGTTGCTGCTGTGTGAGCTATCATATTCTCCAGGGATGCCTTTATCCATCTGCATATTACCGCAGGTATGCTCGTCTACTTATTGCCTTTATCAAAGAGTTGGTGGAACATTATTAAATGTTCCTTTAATATCTAAAGAAGCGGCCAGTGTCTCCTTTGACTTCAAGACAAACTTATTTAGATCATCAAACGCTGAGTACGTAGATTTACCAGCTTGGTATGCGTATTATCGATTGCTTAGATGATAATCTTTTAGCACATCGTCTTTTCTGTACCTAACCAGAAACTTTTCCAGCGTGTTTAATAGAAAAGATGATAGGCTTATTGGTCTATCTGACTTTGGTGTTAAATGCAATAAAACGATCATATAAGCCGAATGACAACAAATAGAGTAGTAAAAAAGGAGAGAAACGGTTCCCCAATACGAAGACAATTAGTAGGAAGACGACGAAAACGATGGAACAACAACTTACTGGAGGTACAAAAACAGAGTCATGTCTACACAAAAAGAAGAAGTAGAAGACTTTGGTGTTAGGTCTACCTACCTTAGGCAAGTATATGACTTAAACATTTTGCCATATTTCCGTTACGACCCCCATGCTAAACTAGCTTTGAGGAGCTTGCATATGTGTGGCATTAATACTTTTAATCCCCTATACAAAAGTATCGGATACATGCAATCTATCTCTAGATTCTTATATGGCTGCAATTTATTTATAGCCCATCTAATTTTTCTTGATCTTGTGATCGCTGTGGCTATTTCCCAATCTAAACAACTTGACCTAGTTGGCGTTTGGTCATGTTGGTTCGACTCTCTGCATCATTCAGATTTGTTAAGGCCGGAAAGTGCGTATTTATAAGTTCCCTAAGAATTTCCTCTTTAGTCTCCGTAAATATGTGGTAGCTCCGTCAAATTGGTTATTTTCTACTTTAAATAAAAATGTTTAAAAATTTATAAAAATTTACTGGTAAAAGTATTTCGTTTGCCAATTTGATATGCTGTACATATCCCATAAGATACCTACCTTACCTACGTTAAACTATGAACGGCCTACAATAGATTAATAAAATCTTCACGTGGCGCCGTGGACCCGGCTTGTGTATATATATTATAGGTATACATAAGGCGCTTAACGTATTAACAAAGATAATTTCTATATTATGTTAGTTTCAAAATTATACTAATAAGATATTTTCCTTTTTAGAAAGCTTACTCTTCTCTTGGTAGGATTAGACAACGCAGGTAAAACTAAAGCTGCCAATGGTCTTGTTGGAGATAGACTAAACTCCCCAGTACCTACGGTTGGATTTTCGGTAGTGAATCTAAAATATTCTGATTATTCAGTCAAAATTTTCGATTTAGGAGGTGGACCTAACATTAGAGGAATCTGGCAGCAATATTTTGTAGATGTAAGTATTTACTGAGAATACGTAGCTACAAAAGAAATTAAGCCAAAAAATAATAATTTATTTAATTGTTGATATATTAGTTATGTATATCTTTCTTCTTGTGGTGCTTATCCGTTTCGGATGCTGGCGACCATCATGGCAATCTGCACTTTGCACACTGTTGCTCTAAAAAGATTTGTGGTTGTTGTGTTGAACCACGTTCGTAGATTTTTCAGCCAGGAAATCCTTCGCCTTCCTGGTCCCCGTTTTTCTTCTACTTTTCCCAGCAATATTAGTTTCAGCAGTCCATATCTCTCGCTGTTCCTCATGATGTGACCGAGGTATTCGATTTTGGCTCTTTTTATTGTGGTTAACAGCTCTTTTTCTTTTTTCATTCTCAACAGAACACCCTCATTAGTAACGTGGTCGGTATACGATATCTTCAGGATGCGACGATAAAGCCACATTTCGAAAGCCTCAATTTTCTTGCAGGTGGCGTCTGTGAGAGTCCATGACTCAACTCCGTACAACAGTATAGGAAAGATGTAACATCGTAGTAACCTGATTTTTATGGGCATTGATAAATCATGACATTTGAATAACTTAGCCATTTTTTGAAATGCAGATCTTGCTTTCTCTATTCTACATTTGATTTCTATGGAATGGTCCCAATTTTCATTGACGTTCGTACCAAGGTAGGTGTATGTTTTTACTCTTTCTATTTGTTGACCGTTTACACTGATTTGTCCAAATTGCTGTTCCTTCTTAGAGATCATCATGCATTTTGTTTTCTTAGTGTCTAGTGAAAGTCCGTATCTCTGACTGACCTCTGTGATTCTGTTCATTAACTCCTGGAGGGTTTCAGAACTGTCAGCGAATACTACCGTGTCGTCTGCATATCTAATGTTATTGATATATTCTCCGTTGATTCGAATTCCGGCTTCAACATCACCCACTGCTTCTTGAAAGATTTCCTCAGAGTATATGTTAAGTAGTATTATATAGTTAGTGGTGATAGTATACATCACTGATGGATGCCACGTTTAATGTTGATATCGTCGGATTCTCCTGACTCTGTCCGGATAGATGATGTTTGATTCCAGTACAGATTGCTGACAATTCTGAAATTGCAGGTGTTTATTCTAATATTGGTTAATATCTCCATCAGCTTGTCGTGCTTTACTGTATCGAACGCTTTATCGTAGTCAATGAAGCACGCATAAATATCGCAGTTCCGTTATGTATATAAAACACCTTTATATTATATTATCATTTTAAGTTTGTAGTATCATCATATGTTTAACAGACAAAAGTCGTTTGAATTTTATGATTAACATGGCCTGTTTTGTGCTCCGTGTTTCAACTAATGACTTACATCTCGGCTTGTTAAGCTCAATGTGTTTCCATTTTTTCCTTTTTTTGACTTTTTGATATTTCATTGATAAGCGGCGGGGCGGTCTTTTCAATTTTCTTTAGATAGAAAATAGCATAAGTTGGATGTTGTAGGAGGGACCTTACAGTTTTTGAGAAATGTCTCCGAAAAATTATTATTAACTAGAATTTGCAACAATTGTGAAAATTCAGATAAAATTTTAGAATAAAAAATCTACTTTTAAGACCATTATTTTTCAACGTTTTAATCTGAATATCGCAAAAAGACTTATGTTCAAGAAAAAATATACTGTTTGTGCAATTAAAAGTGTAAATAAAAAAGTCCAGAGGGTAGATATAAAACTTCGCGAAAAAAAGTTATAAAATTTGCTTGAGAAAACTACAATAGCTTGTCCGGAATATTTTCAAAACGTTGCTGCTTGGTAGATTATTTGTTATATAAATCGCTATTTTTTACGATCTCTAGTGATTTTTTAAAACTGGTATGCTTAGTGTCAAACAATAAGAAATAGCCAACGTGACCACATCGAAATATAACACCTCATAGGCAAGGCAAGATTAGAATTTGGAAACATGAAATCTATCTTCAGAAATCATGCTTTACCACTCAAAATCAAAGCCTCCATCCTCAGAGGTTATCTTTTTCTATCTTGTACGCAGTAGATTCATGGATGCTTTGTGATACTTCTTTAAAAAGCTTACAGCCTTCGAATTTTATTCATGTTCGGACTAGTTGACTAATGTTGAGGTTATACGGTAAATTAGCGAAGGAATGTGAAATAACTGGAACTGGAATCAAAGAGCGTAGATTAGAATATCTGGGAAATGAGACATGTGAAAGGTATGACTTGTAACAAGTCGTATTTCAAGGAAATGTGTATGAAAAAATAGAATCAGGAAGAAGAATTTCTTGGCTCCAGAACCTGAATAAATGGTTCAACTAGTCACTAATCGCCAACGTACGGTACGAATAGACAACATAATAATAAGAAGAAGAAGATAGTTAGTGTATTTTAAACTCTGTTAAACTGAACTCTTTGCCCTTGTGTGTGAATCTTATGATTTTTTTGTTTAGGAGTGCTTTTCCAGCATTTTTTTTTTATGAAATATTTTTATTATATTGCTGCCAGTAATATTATGGATTTTGAGGTTTTTGGTCTATATTATCGATTTAGTCTCAATTTTGTTTCGCCATATTTTGTCAAAAATGTTGATATCATTAAAATCAATTAATCAATACAATTAATTGGAGGCGGAAGTAGTGCAGTTCGCAGAAGAAGATCTCGACTAAAAAATCATAGGCAATGGACGGGAAAGTTATTAACCGAGTTGTCCAAATAAGATTGCAAATATCTGTACAGCATAATCGCTAGAATGAGGATATTATATAGAATAAAGCAAATAGTTTTCATTTAATCCTCTATAGCCCCCATTTAACGCTAAAGACTTAAAGGTTCAAGTACCCCGAAACTAGGTTTTTTCTTTCTTTAGGTAGAAATCCTTTTTCTGTTCGTTCCTCTTCAGCTGTCATTAATCGCCATAAGTTTTTGATGAGATTAAAATTAATAAAACAATGGCCAGGTCTTCGCTTATGCGCTGACGACCTGGACATTGGCTTCCAACATAAAAGTAAAGGAGCAGGAGAACGAGGTTTAAACAAAGATCTAACTACACTAAGTACGTACTTTAAAGAGCTGGCGCTTACTCCTTAATACAATCCAAATTGAAACCTGTTTCTTTTACCTGGCAAGTCAACTTGCGGGAGATGCTCTCAATGTAACTCTAAATCATACAACTATCAAACATAATAACCACCCCAAATATCTAGGCGTCATACTTGATGGAGCACTAAAATTCAAAAGTCGTCTTACAAACGGAGCCAGTAAACTTAGAACAAGAAACTTTATAACGTGGATAATGTGGTGTCCCTGATACCCTTTAAACTTGAAGTATGAGTCTTTAGTAAAGTGTGTTTTGGCGATAAGGCATATATCAATATTTTCTATATCAAAAACAGTTTGAAATTCTTGTAGGTTCAGTTCCCAGCTGTTCCCCGCGTGTAGAGGTTCTCTCACCGGCTCTGGAACTCGATTCAACCATGTGTTACCTCTAGCCAAATTTAATTTAATACTGAACATCACAGTTATTTTACAACACAATGTACAATCTTTTATACCTAAATGTAATTTAAAGGGTTTTTACCCTAATATTTTGGTGGCTCAGGCATTGTGACCTAGCATTTTTCGTTTTTAAAACCTGATGATGGACTGTGTGGTCCGAAAACGTTTGTTTTATTGATGTAGCCCTTTTAAGGGTTTTTTAAATAAATATACCCATTTACGAAGACTAACCTCTTTCTTGTAGGTGTTTCAGAAAGCCATTGGCATTCCATTCAAAAATTCTTAAATGTCTAACCATTTTTTATTTTAGGAATCGCTCCTTATGCACGCTTTTCCAAGTTTATGATTCGTGTATCTAGCTTTTCCAGTTTTTCTAAAATAAGGTTAAGTACCATGTCAATGCTTGATGTTCTGTAATTCTAATTATTTTTTCAGTGTTACTTGCAAGTAGCTCTTTCTGTAGTTACCTGACTATATTGTCTTCTGCTCTGATCATTGGTTTGGGTTTGCTCGAGTTTTTTGACATATAACATAGGTTTTCTCATTTGTTTGTTTTTAATTGTTTAAAGTTCCTTGGCGACTATGTATTCACGATAATTGGCTGGATGAACTTCGTCGCAGTGGACGCATTTTGGACTGGCATTCTTTGGTTTGTCACATTCTCTGGTGCTGTGGTATCCAGTACACCTCACACATCTAGGTTGCTTCGCACAGTAATTTTGCGTTAACATTTTTTACATTGGGGGACTAGTTTATTATGCTTTAGCGGGAGAATAAACTAAACTAGATCTCTTGCGTTTTTATCAATAAGTCTTAATCGGTAGATAAGCTTCTTAGCATCTAGTTTTTCACAGAAAAAACCAAAGTTTCTAGAAAAAATAAAATATCTTATCGTAAGACCCTTAATAAAATTGAATATTCCATTATTCAAGTAATTTATTTTTTTATATTTTAGGCACATGGTCTAATTTTTGTGATAGACTCCAGCGACGTGTCTCGTTTTGACGAGGTAAAAATGGTTTTGGAAGAAATATTATTGAGCGACAAAATAGCAGGAAAACCACTGTTAATTTTAGCTAACAAACAGGATAGCGTAAACGCAGTGGACGAAATAGAAATAATAGAATTTCTGGATCTAGAATACTTAGTAAACAACCGAAAATGTCCAACATTAGTACAGAGCTGTGCAGCATCGGAAAGCAACGCAAACAAATTAGACTTAGGAGTACAAAAAGGATATAATTGGCTGATGAATTATATAGATAAGCACTATGATAGTTTAAATCAAAGAGTGGAACAAGATGTGGAAGAACAAGAAATCAAAGAGAGGCAGGAGCTCCTGGAGAAGATTAAAAGGATAAGAAACCTTCATGCTTTAGAACAAAGTAAACAAAATGAAGATACTATAGAAACTTACTCAGATTATGTTAAAAAAATCAACGGAGAAATAAAATCGATAGAAGAAGATAAAGGCCCTAGTACATCTGTGATAACGTTAGAGGATACGAATTCTAGTCCTTCTTCTAACGATTCATCTATTTCTTTTTCACCTGTATATGTTAACACAGCAAATGAAAAAAACGAAAGACCAAAATCAGCAGTGGAATTGGTCAAACACCAGCTACAGTTGAAAGATAGCTTCAAGAAGCCAAATGTTAGACCTAGATCAAATAAAACAGCACCTATACATCTGTATGGCACAAGGATTCCTCATTCTGCCCACGAAAGACGCAGAGAAACTCTGTTTGATAGAAGAAACCTTAAATCGGCTGATAATGTACTTTTTACCATTAGTGGAACGTTTTCAAGTGACGCGAACGTAGTTAATTCGAGTGGGGATCATAATTCCATAGGTCTTAATTATTTTGGAAGTAAAATACATTCTCTTAACAACTCAGGTGTGCCTTTTGTTCATAGACCTAATAGAGAAGGTGACGGATTGAGTATAGTAGACATTTTATAGTGTTTTAGAAGGAGAGTGTAATAAAATAATCATACGTGCCAAAAGCTAGAACATGGGGTAATTAGGAAAATTTTAAACTTAAAAGATATTGTTTTATCTTCGTCTTTGCTGCCAAAAATAATAAAAATAAAATAAAATAAACACCTAAATTAAGAACATATCGACCCTCCCAACGAAAACTGTCGTAACTCAAGATCGCTCATTCCGAGATAATTGCGTTTAAAAATAATTGTGAAAAGTGACGTTCTGTAATTTTTTAATTATCACTACTACGTTTTTAATTTTTTCACTCAGTAACTATTTGTGCAATCATAATTATTGCAAAAGAAATAAAACTTTCATAAGGTTATTCGATTTTGGATTTTGAATGAGTTACTACAGTCTTCGTCGACAAAAATTTCAGTTATAAAAACATACTACATTAATAAAACAAAAAAAAATTAACAAATATTTTATTTTTAGCAATTTGTTTATAATGGCATTATAACACTAATTATAATAATAATTAACGACTAATTGCTAAGTACAATACACTGCTATTGTTCAGATTCGGAACCAGTTTCTTGATCTGTAGAGCACTCTGGTGGAATGTCTTCATTAGCAGGCCGCAGGGAGTTATAAAACCCATGGTACATTGCTGGTATCAAATTGGTTTTACATAAACTTAATAGACCATTTAATTTTTTACTGTCAATTGGTAAAAGACCTTGGTATAAACGTGGTAGTTTATATTCTTGGGGTTTACGTAATTTTGATGTTGCGATGTCGAGTCCTTTGTAATTTTCTGCAAAACTGTAGGTAAAATAAACTTTATAAGGATTCTTCGGATCGAAGTGAATTTCCCTAATTTTGCTTATCTTTACCACCTCCGCAGTGTTAGTTTTCTTCCAGTTCTGTTTCTGAACCATTGGTTTAAAACTAAAAAAGTCTTCTTGAGACATTTCCTTCACTCTATACTGTGGAGAAGTAACTTTTGCCATCTTTATGAGGCTAATCCACTGGTCAGGAGTATAAATATTCGAATGTCGTTTCTTTGCAACTTCTATAACAGCGTGCATGCTGTCATTTTCGTTCTGGGTATGACCAATCTCAAGAAAACGGTGTGTTATTTCCAGATCCAAAGTCACCGATGCATGAGCAAACATCGAAAAAATAAAACGATTGCGGTTTTGCCCTCCGCAATTGTCGGAGTATAACACGACTTTTCGAATGCCATCTCGTTTTGCACCTTTTAAAAAATGCCATAAACAGCTTGCAATTTCATTCGGCCCCCTTTTTGATATTTGTTCATGCCATACGTAGCAATATCCTTGATTATTGCCCAAGTCTTAAATAGTAAAATTATAAGTTGCAAGCTTACTCTTATAATAAAAGTTACTTACCTCTGACTTGGGTGTTACTAATACTTTCTGCAAATCGAAGCATATTGTTAAAAACGATTTATCACTTTTGGACAATTCCTTATTAGCATCTTTCAGATTTCTAACAGATTCTTTGTTTAAAACATGGCTATTGTAATTTTCTTCCATTGATTGAGTTCTTTTCTCTGTATCTGTATTGTTATACGCACTGCATACTGAACACTGATCTTTCTTAGGCTTGAAAAATGCAATGTTGAATTGTGAGTTTAAAGTATCCCTGTATTGTCTAACTGTAGCGACGACACCCCATTTTTTGAGTTTGGCATATTCCACGTACATTCGGTGCATTACAGATATGTTTAAGCCCTCTTCTAAGTACATGCGTTTTGAGTTTTTCCTTGTATAATGAGAAGGTACAAGTGGAAATAATTTTATGTGTTCTACAATGTTATCTTTTACACTATCCGGGATCTTGTGCGGTCTAGTATTATGTTTTCCTCTCTTATCTGCTTCTATGGTACCAGCTACACTAATTTTTTTCAATGCAGTGCTAACAAAAGTTTCAGAAATCGCAAGTGTATTTAAGAACATTGTCTTGCAAATTTGTTTCTCGGTATTACCAATATTAAATTTATATTTGCGCGAAAAGTTTCTCCTAGAATTGTTTACAGTGATTTGCGTTTTACCTTGTTGTGTCACGCACCTTGCAAGAAAATCCCACTGCCTGGTATGATCTCCAAGTTTCCAAAATTCGTCAAAAATTACTTGTCTTGTTTCAAAATTTAATATGCTATTACATTTATATCTGTAAATATCCTTACAAGGAACCTTCATCTTCTTTGCAGGTATAAACTTATCCTTGCGGTTCTTATGTTCCAGACCGCTATTAAATTCTCTTTTGACTTTTTTGTCAATCCATTTGTTCTCATTTCTAACTCGATTTCTTCCTATCTTAACATTTTCTGATACTTTTCGCTTTCTTTTTGATGATGGTCTGTCTAATGACACATTACTTCTCTTGTTATCAGATAGATTCAAATTTTCGTTTTCGGCTTCTGATTCTGAGGGAACATAGTTTGGATCATCATCGGAATAATTAGCAGGAAATATGTTGGTATTAATGTTAACGGTATTATTGTTGTCGTTACTTTCATTTTCGTTGTCTAAAACAAAAAAAAAATAAAGAAATTTAAATTAAAAATAAAAGAAACGTTTAAATTATTAAATACCTAGATTGTTCCTTTGAAATTAACTTTTTTACTGTCTATGCTATGTACAACATTCAGATTTTAAATAGATAAATAGATAAATAAAATGACAGCAACTTACCTGGTGCTATTTGTGTATTATTATTAACAAGTAATCCCAAAATTCGTTTAGTTCTCTGCGACATTATTATAAATTATTATAACATTAAACAAGATTCTCTTTAGCTCTTCACCTAATTGTGAACGACATTTAACATAACCTATAATTACGTATAGCCGTATTTCGGTCCCTTCTCACAAATTTACAGCGAACCATGGACGTATAAACACACTTTGTTTATACGTCCATGCAGCGAACACTGTAGTAACTCCATAATACTACTTTCTTCGCGGTAAAGTACAGAGAGCATTGAGATACTACATTTACATTAACGTATATTGTGTTGTCTATATTATGATTTTAGTTATTATAGTATTCTCTGGAATAAATTTCGGTATTATAAAATCTGATTATGGTAATAACTCAAAATTGAAAAAAAAAAATGAGTTACGACAGTTTTCGTTGGGAGGGACGATATCAGTTTTCCTAATAATTTATCCCCACGTGTTAATGAAAAATCTATGGCATTACTTGTTCTCGGTTGCGTAGAAACTCATAAATATTATTATTTATAATTAAAAAGTGAACTGTAATATAATTAACTTGGCATTTCCCTATAGTGTATTTATGTATTATCATAATATATATATACATTCGGTTTTATAACGTCTTACGACGTTGTCCGACTCCCAACCGCCACTGTATTCGGTCTTGAGTTAGGTCTTCGTCCAGATTTCGAGCGCTAATCGCTTTCCTAACTCCCAGGTTCCAGCTCTGTGGTGGTCTTCCTAGTTTCCTCTTCTCTGGGGGTTGCCACATCATCGTTTTTTTAGGCAATCTTTCGTCCCCCATTCGGCTCACATGTCCATACCATATGAGCTGTTTTCTCTCAATATCCTCAACTATAGTGCCCTATCATAATACTGACGTTGTATGTGATTAAAAAATTAGGCTCAGTACAATTTTAATGCGGCCTCACCCCTCCTCCCACCCTCTACTTACGAAAACATCAATTTTTCCTTTATTTTTTTTTATGTGGGATACAATCAATTTAAAAATTTCAAAAAATTCACACGCATATTTGAGGCTTTTATGCAATGCAATACAACCTAATAGTAGAGTTATTCTTATGTGGATATACTTTAGATTGTCTCAAAGTGACTAGTCTGTACAGGGTAAATGCACAACATCGATGCTATACTTCTTTACAAACTTGTATTAAAATAAACGTCACTTCTTACTACTTAGCCTAATCCATCTTTTGTGTTAAGGGTAGCTTAAGTACTAATACCATTAACGACCCTGCCTGGCTTCCTTCTGTCAATGATTCTCAAACATAAATAATATTTGCTACAACATACTTGGGTTAAATTAAAATAAAATAGAAATTAAGAAATGTCTTTTATTTATGTCACACAAGCAGTTTGTTTTTAATTCTACGGTATGTGCTAGCAATACAAACTATTTGTTTATAGATTTAAATAAAATCGAATTAAATAAAACTAAAATATAAAGAAACATTTCATTTATGTATTGTTCTGTTCAAAAGTTAAGGAAGGAAGGAGTTTTAAAAACCGCACTGCAGTAACAAAACGTAGAAATATCCGAAAATATAATTAATAAATAAGTTGAAAATAAAAGAAGTCATTGTATTTAATTTAATGTGTAAGTAATTGTAATTGTACACCATTATATTTAGTTCCTTTTTCTGTCAATCGCTGTCATATTTAGTTTCTGCTTAACTATCATCATCATTATTATCGTCACTGTCATCACTATCTCCGTTATTTATATTTATAATAATTGATTCGATATCATCCAACAAATTTTCAATTTCCCACATTTTTTTTCTGTTGCTATTACGTGGTTTACGTAGTTTTTTCATTTCTCTGGCGTAATGACCTGGTACGCTGCTGTAATTAAATTTCGTATTTCAGCTTCTTTAAAATTCACGTTGCGTCCAGTTATATACCGTTTCACTTCACTCCAAACCATTTCGATGGGATTGAGTTCACAGTGATAGGGTGGGAGCCTCAGAATCTTCACATTGTGCTTTTTGGCAATATCTTCTATTATGTACCTGTCATATTTTGCTTTGAAGGCCTTGACTACATCAAGTAACTTGCATTTTAGGTAGTCTTCTTCAAAAAAATAGGTCTTTTGATAGAAGACATTCTTGAATATCTTTTTTTAGTGTTAAATTGTTGGGAATTTGTTCTGACTTTCTGCTGAAATAGGAGGCATTGTCCATTACCACAACAGTTTTTTCTGCCAAATTTAGCCTTAAGTTATTTTCGAACCAATCTTCGAAGGTCGGTCCATCCATTTCGTCGTGGTAGTCCTGAGTATTTTTCTTTGCCAAAAACGTGAGGTATTGCCAAAAAATTCACTGGTAGATCCTGCGTGCAATAAAACGAACCGTGCACCACAAGCTGTTGGAGCTTTTAATCCTGTTTTGTCAACCCATTCCTTTTTAACACAGTGCCCGATATTTACCCATGATTCATCGAAATACACTATGTTGTATCCTTTTGCACGGTATTTACGAATTGCGCGTAAATAAAGATGACTGTCACGTTTTATAAACACAAAATCTATATCACTCAGCAAGCGATGTAGCGTAGCCCGTGAAAAGTTGTCAAAATTTCTTCGACATTTACAACAGCTAATATGGTGTTTATTGTTGGTGGTGTGTTGTCACGAAAAAATTGATGAACTGCTTTACGAATTTGACCCCTGATACCTTCATCGTATTTGTTGTCACGAGAATTACCAATCTTTCGCTTCTTGAGCCTGCTCTTTGGAGATTGTAATCCAGCGGGTGATGAATATTCCTGTCGTATGCGGAACAGTCTTTTCGCAAACACCACTCATTTCTGACACTTTCCTTATTATACTTGATACAGAATCGGTGTTATCCTGATTAAGATGATAATTAATAATATTCATTAGTATGTGCTTCTCTAAAAGTTTCAGAGCTTTTCCACGTTTCCATTGAACAATTTTCTCCATTTTGCGGTCAAATTCGGCATCAAATATAACAATAGCCAACAACAGAAAATAACAACAATTGCCAAAATCAAATCACAACAACAGCCACCAACATATAATAACAATAACAAAACAGTAACAGTACATCCAAGATGGTACAAATAATCGTAACTCGAATATGTTTACGCGCTCCGAAGAACAAATAAAGACTAATTAAGGACCTGGATGTATCAAGCGCTTTAAACATATTCTGTACAAGAATTACTCTAATTGCTTCTTAATTACTGAATAACTTAGAAGAAACTATTTGAAAAACTTTAAAACAAATGTTTATTTAATGCACATTTTATTATACTACTGCTACTAATAAAAGATAAAAGTTGATAAGTTACTATTAGAAACAAATAATGTATAGTATTATGTAAAATTATTAACAAACGATATTTGTAAATTATATAAAATTGTACGTGAGGAGTTGTTGAGAACTCCTGGTTTATTCCGTTTATTTGGAAAGATAGACAATAGAGAACGCCATCGCTCACTGCATAAAACTGGCAGCGTCTTGGCCACATTCCCATAAGGTTAGCATTGCATATCTTACCCTGTATAGACTAGTCAATTTGAGACAAAGTATAGGTATAAACATTTGTGTAGATTTCATAGATGAAACATCAATCAAGTGGGAAAGAATTAATAGGAAAAATATAATAAAAATTTCTAAATTTTGGCACTTTGAAATTTTTGCAAAGCTCTCTATTAAGCCCTGGAAATAATGATACTTGTGAGGCGTCAGCGTCGTCCACTAGATTGTTGTATGTCGTTAAGTAAAAATATATTTTCTAATAAATTTTAACATTTATAAGTACGAAGTAATGACATAGTTTTATAAAATTTCAATATATTTGTAAAATAAAGTAAATACTTGAAATTGTATTTTTCTTATTCTATTTTTGTATGCCATAATCCATAATATACTATACAATACGATAGATACAAACTGATATAATAGAGCTAGCTACTACACAGAAGAGATTTTCTCAAAGTTGCCTACCAAAGTAGGTACTTAGGCATATTTAAACCGAATACACTGTATGTGGCCCGTCTTATGTCCGCCCCGGACTAATTCTGAACCATAAAACATAAATTAATTAATTTCTAGTTAATTAAACAAAAATTATTGTAAATTGGATCATATGGCAAATAATATCGTAATTGAAAGCTTGTTTGTCATTTAGTACTTTTTTAGATTTTTTGGCCACTATGCAATAAGTAATAATAACGCCAAGAAGGACGAGTATTACTGATGTTGTGGAACGCATAGCGGAACTTAAATGGAACTGGGCAGGCCATGTAGCGAGAATGCACGATTCACGATGGACGAGCAAAATTACAAATTGGAAGCCAAGAGCAGACAAACGCAGTAGAGGAACACCACCTACACGTTGGGCCGACGACATCAGGCGTATCACTAAAAATTGGCAACAAAGAGCACAAAATCGTGAGGAATGGAGGAGTTTAAGGGAGGCCTATGTCCAGCAGTCGACGTGATAAATAGAGGCTGGATGATGATGATGATGCAATAAGTATTAAATGGCGACTGTGTTAAAAATGATGAATCTCTAATAATTTGGTAGTCTGCAGCTTTTGTTGTAACTGTTTTAAAATATCAATTTATTTTTCTAATTTACTACATATCGATGGAATTCACTTGTTTATCAATTGACATCTGTAAAAAAAAATGAGTTCATCGATATTTTCTTTAAATGACAAATATGGATTGTGACATATTTGAAACCTATCGTCTCAGTCAGTATGTTACTATAAACTAGAACTAGTTACTCTTTCACTGGTAGTCAGTTTAACAGTTTTTTAAGTCTTCTTCTTCTTTCAGTGCCTATTCGTTCCGAATATTGGCAATCATTCTGGCTATAATTATTTTATTAACTGATGCTTTAAATAGATTCGTTGTTGTTGTGGAGAACCATTTCCTCAGGTTCTTCAACCATGATATTCTCCTTCTCCCAATTCCTCGCTTTCCGAATACTTTACCCTGTAGGATTACCTTCAATAATCTGTATTTAGTGCTGTTTCTCATTATATGTCCGAGATATTCCAACTTTCTCCTTTTAATGGTATACATCACCTCTCTTTCTTTGCCCACTCTTCGTAATACGGTCTCGTTGGTTATCTTGTCTGTCCATGATATCCTTAGAATTCGCCTGTATAGCCACATCTCGAAGGCTTCAAGTTTTTTTCTCCATTGCTTCAGTTAGTGTCCAGGATTCAACTCCATAATACAATATTGAGAAGATATAACATCGTAGGAGCCTTACTTTTATCTCCAGATTAAGATTGTGGCTTTTAAAGAGTTTGGCCATGTTATTGAATGCACTCCTAGCCTTCTCTATTCTACATTTTATTTCCTGTGAGTGATCCCATTGTTCATTTACTGTTGTTCCAAGATAGTTATACTGTTTTACTCGGTCCACTGGTGTATTATTGATAAGTAGTTGAGCGTCTCTAACTTTATTTTTGCTGATGATCATAAATTTAGTTTTTGTTATATTTACTTGAAGTCCAAATCTTTCACTTACTTCATTTACTTTGTTTATTAGTTGCTGTAAACTGTTCAAACTGCCTGCAAAAATAACGGTGTCGTCTGCATAACGGATGTTGTTTAGGCGTTCTCCATTTAGAAGTATTCCATGTTCGCATTTTTCCAAGGCTTCACTAAATATTTCCTCTGAATATAGATTAAATAATATAGGTGAAAGTATGCAACCTTGTCTAACGCCTCGTAGAATCTGGATCATTTCCGTTGGTTCACCTCCAAAATTCGTTCTTATTGTGGCTGATTGGTTCCAGTATAAATTTTGTATTATACGCCGATCTTTATCATCCATTTGGGCTTTTGTTAGAATATCCATCATTTTTTGGTGTTGAACTGTATCAAATGCTTTTTGGTAGTCCACAAAGCAGGTGTAAATATCGCAAGTCATATCTCTGCATCTTTGAAATAATACTTGTAGACTAAACCGTGCATCTCTTGTACCTTCTACCATCTCTTTTTTAAGTCAATCAACACAATTGCCAATAAACTTTGAACGGCCACCATTTTGAAACGTCGCTACAGAATCGCAAAAATCTAGGAACATCCAAGATCTTTCAAATAGGATATTACTTGTCATATAATATCATTTAAAATAATTTTACAAAATGGAGAGAATAATTCTCTCTCCTGCTATCACCCACGATGTAGCTTCCAAAAATTTTTGTTCCTTGTCTAGGGTTAGTTTTGTGTAAATGCATTATTCACTGTTTATAACATTCATTGAAATGGTGGATAGCCTACATTCAGAGGCGGCGTAGAGCGTGGGCGACGTAGGCCACAGCCCACGGCCTTGCGGTCCCAGAGGCCTAGCGCCTTGGAGATTTATATGTATTACTTAAACCTAAGCCATGAACGCTCTGAAAAAAGTGCTTGCGTCGTCTCAACAATTTATTGGCAGAAGCTGCTATAATCTGCCGAAAGAATTTAAAAACTTTCGTTTTTAAATTCGTTAAAGCGAAAAAGAAAAGAGTCTTTGATTATGAAGGCAAGGATCAACCTATACAGTGTCACATCAAGCAAATTTTTTTAACACTATGCTTGCTATGCAAAAATTGTCAAGATTTACTCACAGTCCTACTAATGGGTGAGAGCAGTGACTTTCAACCTTACGAATTATATGAATTTTATTATTAAAATACCACTTAGTATTGCCTCCGCTGTAAGGAGCTTTTCAAAATTAAAACTCATTATGAATTATTTAAGGAGTATGATGTCACAGCAAAGACTTTCTTTGGTCGCAATTTTGTCTATCGAGGCTGATCCAAGCTAGGTTAAAAGCACATAATGAAACAATTCGGCAGTGTACAAAGTAGAAAATTTCTGTTAAATTAAATTGTTTTTTAACGTAGGTAGGTCTTTATATCTTAAACATTTTTAGGTTAGTTGTGAGTTTGACTAGATTTTGCTTAGACAAGGAAAGAGAGAGGACGCGTAACCGTATCGCTAAAAGTGAAGCCAAACTGCCACCAAAGGAGGTGGTCAGCGGCGTCTCTTTGTATTTTTAAGGATTGACTAATTCGTATTTAAAATGAAACATTTTTGTACATTAAATGTTTTATTTAATTTATTTTATACAAATATTTTGGAATCAAAATTAACGAAATTTATTTATTTATTTACTTATTTATGGAATTTTATGAAATATTTTATGGAAGTTTAACCCTCAACGCACATCGCTACTGACAAATCATCATGGTGTGTGAGGGAAATTATTAATTATAATACAATTACTAAAAATATGCATATTTAGCATTCTTATTTACTAATTTGGATCTCACCTTTCCTTAAAATACTAATTTAAATTGGTTTTGAGGTTTAAAATTGAAATAAAAAAAAATGAGTTTTGGATTTATTTCGCAGTGGTAGGGTGGAAGTCTAAGAACTGTGATGTTTCGCCTTTCGGCCATTTGTCAACTACGTATTTCTTGAACTTAGATTTGTGTTGCCGGGCAATTTTTAAAAGTTCTGCTTTTACCATTCCATCTTCGTAAGGCAGATACTTATTCCGCAGCCAGTCAAGAATATCCTGTTTCTTCTACGCAGTCGTTGGAAGTCTTTCTACTAGTCGTGAATGATAAGGTGCATTATCTAATATTATAATTGAATTTGGTGGTATGTGTTCAATCATCTGCTGAAAATACATACTCTTCGAAAACATCAACTGTCATCTCCTCGTGATAGTCTTGTGCTTTTGGACTGAAATTCCAACAAACCATGCTTAACAAATCCTTTTTCACTGCCAATGTGAGAAATTATTAATCTACTGCCTTTACTAGAAGGTGGGGAGATACCAGTAGACCAACCTTCCATAAAAGCTTGCCTGAAGCTTAATATATTTTTATCTGACCAAATTTTTTTTAGAGTATGACTTGAGTTTACCCACGTTTTATCCTGGTAGAAGATTGGCCTTCCTTTAGTCCTGAATTTTCATATGGATCTTAGATAATTTCTTCTCCAACATATTATCTCCTCCCGGTCAATCAAAAGTGATTTTCGGTCTGATTTCTCCCAGCGGAAATTTAATTCTTTTAAAACTTGCCACAATTTAGTTTGTCCGATGAGGCAAATCCGGGTCATCTCTAACTTCTTGTAAAATTTTGTTTAAGTTTGGTATTTCTTTTTTGAAAAAAAAATCCATGAATTTTCCTTTCAAATTCATCAATTTCAATAAGCTTTTTCCCTCTCTTTAAGTGTTCGTTTGTGTTTGGGTTAGCTATACCGTGTTTTTTTTTCTGATAGGAACCTATATATAGTTGACTCCCTTACGCCAGTCATGTTGGCACAACTTTCGACTATGTTGCGAACAGTGTTTGTGAGAAACCAGAGCATTGTGAACATTCAGGACTTAGTCTTCTCTCTTGGTGAATGGACAGACTTGATGACTGTACGCAACAGTACCGGTGTAAAACTTGATGATGTTGATGATGAAGCCATCACAACCAATCCAACAAAACGAGAACGAAAGACGTGAGATGTTGTACAACTACTTAAACAACGAAAATTTATTTTGTCTCAACACTTTCTTTAAAAAATCTAAACAACGTAAATGGACATGGATCAGCCCAGACAAGAAAACTAAGAACGAAATAGACTACATACTCTCCAATAACAAAAACATATGCACCGACGTGACAGTACTAAACAAATTCTATACCGGGAGTGACCATAGATTGGTTAGAGCGAACATTAAAATACAGACGAGAGTAGAACGAAGCAAACTTATTAAACGAGAACGATACCCAACCACCGATGTCCTGCTTCAAAAACAAACGGAATACCAAAAAGAGCTAAGCACAAGACTAAAATCAATAGAGACACTGAAACAAATGGATATAAACGGACTAGCCACTAAAATAAAAGTAACTGTAACAACATCGGTTAAGAAAATATGCTCAAACACGAAAACAGCCAAAACATCTAAACTCCAACCTAATACAATTAAACTAATCCAAGAAAGACGAAACAGAACAGATCGAACTTCGGACAGCTTTAAAAGTTTAAACAAAAATGTGAAGAAAGAAATTAGGAACGATCATAGAAACTATAATAACAATCTAATAAAAAATATAATACAAGATAACTGCAACATGAAAGTACTCAAAGCAAAAAGCGGCACAACAAAAATCATAGAAATAAAAAATGAGAAAAACGTCACCGTCCGAGACAGAAAGGAAATAAGCGAGGCCATTGAAAAATTCTACACTAAACTATACTCGGTAAATACACAACCACAACAACGACGTACTCAACGAACAATAATTAACACCGGCTCAGAAGAAATACCGGACATAACCGACTATGAAATAAGAATGGCCCTAAATCAACTTAAAACGAATAAATGTCCGGGAGAGGATAAGATTACAGTTGAAATGTTAAATTGGTGGCAGAAAAATGGTACAGGTATTAAATGTTTTATTTAATAAAGTAATTGATGAAGGAAAGATTCCTCAAAAATGGTACAACTCCGAGGTCATTTTACTATTCAAGAAAGGAAACAGAGCAAACATCGAGAATTACCGACCAATATCCTTGCTATCACATCTGTATAAATTACTAACTAAAATCATAACCAACCGCCTAACACATAAGCTCGATTTCTATCAACCTATCGAGCAGGCTGGATTCAGAAAACATTTTAATACCATAGACCACTTGCACACCGTAAGAACACTGATAGAAAAATGCACCGAGTATAATGTTCCAATTCATATGGCGTTCGTCGATTTCCATAAAACATTCGATTCCATCGAATTATGGGCAGTGCTTGAATCTCTAGAAAATGCACGCATAGATTCAAGATACATTAACATAATTAAAAACATATATGAAAATGCCACCATGCATATAAAGCTGGACGAAAGCACAAAAACTAATCCCATAAGACTACAACGGGGAGTAAGACAAGGAGACACCATCTCTCCCAAACTATTTACTCTTGCTCTAGAAGATATTTTTAAGAAACTGAAATGGAACAATAAGGGTATCAACGTCGACGGATCATACTTAAACCACTTGAGATTCGCAGATGACATATGTTACAACAATTAAATGCAGTTTCAGGAGCGGTAGGCTTAAAAATTAACTACAGAAAAACAAAAATACTGAGCCGAGACCAGACAAATATAACAATACAAAATCATACCATAGAAAATGTGGAACATTATGTATATCTAGGTCATGTTATCAAACTAGGAAAACCAAATCAAGATGCTGAAATTAAAAGAAGAACACAACTGGCTTGGGGCGCTTTCGGCAAACTAGCACATATCTTGAAAAACACCTCCATTCCTATAAACTTAAAGAAAAAGGTGTATAACACATGCATACTACCAGTTTGTACCTACGGCTTGGAGACAGTAGCACTTACCAAAAAATCTGCCAAAAAATTAGAAACAACGCAAAGAGCAATGGAACGAATCATGCTTGGAATATCACTAAGAGACAAGATTAGAAACACCGAGATAAAACGTAGAACGAAGACTAGGGATATTGTGGAAGAAATTACAAAAATGAAATGGCGCTGGGCAGGTCACGTAGCCCGATATAATGACAACAGGTGGACACGGAGAATTCTAGAATGAAGACCAAGGACGACAACAAGAAGCATGGGAAGACCTCAAAAAGATGGGTAGATGACATAAGAGCAGTGGCAGGCAAACAGTGGATTAGATTGGCGCAAGATAGAGAAAGATGGAAGTAATTGGGAGAGACCTACATTCAGGAGTGGATGGAAAATGGTTGACAAAGAAGAGAGAGAGAAATAAAAAAACATATTGTTGAAACAAAAAATATATATTTTTTTAAATTATTATATTCTAACAATAAATATATATGTAAACATATACGAATTAACTGTACTTGTTTTGGTTAAAGATACAACTTAAATAAAATCACAAAAAGATAGTTAAAATATAAATGCCAGAGAATTTTTATTATTATTTTAACTAAACCCAAGTGTTATCCTAAATCACGTATTTATATGATTTCGCCTGATCACAGAAATAAACATTACTACATTCTTGAATACTGTAGCTATACAATAATGAATAGGATATAGAAAGAAAAATTGTACAGCATAACTATAGTAACAAATGTCCATTTACACCAACTTGAGGAATGACAAATACGGTCATTTGCGATAACTATCAACTCTACGATTGACAGTGCAAATAGCCATGGCCGTTTCAGATATCTGCTTTTTAGTATAAACATCTAGAAGAAAATACTTCTCACAAGATGAAGTTATAAACAACTTTATCAACAACAGATTACAGAAGACAGCAGATGGCTCATGGTCAACAAAATTGGCTGGAAACTATTGAAGTCATATAATCTGTAAGTCAGCAAACACCCACCTGGAATGAAGCATATACAGTGAGAGAAAGATGATTATTAACGGGATTTCCTTAAAGAACATCATCTTAGAGAAATACCTAGAAAATACCCTGTGTTGTCAATATTTTAGAAATCATGACAACAAACTGTTCACTTAATTAATATAGGAAGGTTGTATTATAACACAAGATATTATGAAGAGACAGATAAGTTAGACTGTTTTATGTTGTAAAATAATTATTGAAAACTATTTCTTTCCATTCATGTATTTTTTCAGAAAAAAAAAACAAAAAAAACTAAGATATCACAACTAAATACTTTTGTATATAAAACATTATCGAGAATAAAAATTCTCAATAAAAGTTTTTACTCATTAAAGAATTTAAAGATAACACAGTTAACTGAAGTGCTGGATATTCAGCATAATGTCCAGTTCCGAGATCTGACGACGACATATAATATGCAAATGTTTGTCTTTAGTCTTTACTTATAAAATACAGTACACTGTGTCCTAATTACACTGCTTTCATGTTGGTATAAAATTTTCTATTTAAAGAGATACAATGTTTTATAGTGCTATTAGTTTATAGGAAAAAAATTCGTCGTATTAACAGGAGAGCTATTATTGTTATTAATATCCAAATTGCTGCTGTCCATAATTTATCCCTAAAACAGAAAAAAAATGATAATAATTGTTAGTGTATAGGTTGTATAGGGAGTGATACATTCTGAAATATGCATACGTTAGGGTAGATAGGGGACACTGGGGTGGCTTTAAATGACATTTAACAGGTCTTTGAATGCATATAACAACGATACAGGCTTAGACCTTTTATTTATTTTACTCATTTTTTAAGTGTTTGGCTTAAGCACCACACTGTATATATATATATATATATATATATATATATATATATATATATATATATATATATATACACTACTGCCCAAAATTAACGCACCACCTTAAATTTAGCATAAGTTTGAAGCTATATTTCTTCTGAACCCATAGTTGGATTTCGATAATTTATTTTTCACATTGTAGGTATATTTCTAATTAATGACTATATTAATGTTTTTTGAGAAATGTCAACGTTTGATCTATATACAGGGTGTAAAAATAAAGTTGTGTTTTTCATCTAATTTTGCAACACCCTGTGGAATGTATTAGCAACAAACGCTACATGTTATTAATATTTTGAGATCGCTTCATTATTTCTCCACATTTTCGTAAAAAAATCATCACGATATCTCTATTATCAAAAAAGAAAAGTGTGTTCAAAGCATTACGTGATTTTTTACTCTCCAAAATTAACGTAACACCTAAACTCTACAATAATTTATAAGCTATTTTTTGGTGTATCCTTAATTGGATTTCGATATTTTTTTTTCGCATTTCAAACCTATTTCTAAGTAATTACTGTATTAATTTTTTCTGGGAAATGTCAACGTTTCACCCATATATGGGGTGTAAAAATAAATCTGATTTTTTATCTTATTTTGCATTATTATATGTGGAATTTATTAAAAGCAAACGCTACATATTATTAATCTTTCGAAAAAGCTTTATTTTTTTTTTAACATTTTCGTAAAGAAATCATTGATATCTATATTATCAAAAAAGAAAAGTACTTTCAAAGTATAACGTGATTTTATCTAATTGTAATACTCATTAATGGAAGCAGTTAGTTGGTTACGTTAACTATGGCTAACACCACGACAAGATCAGTTTATCAGGCTTCGTGCTATAAGAGAACGTTTTCTCACAATGAGACATTTACAAATACAATTGGCAATTTTCCAGAGAGCTCCTTAACTGGAATGTTGATGACGGGGAGCACGTGTTGATCACTGACGAATGGAAGTATTGCTTATATAGCTCAGATAAACGTGTGAGAGTTATTCGACGGACAAGAGAACGCTATGCACAGTGTAATATACGACCTATTACTTTATTCAATGAAGGATCTGTAATGGTTTGGGAGGAATATCCTTTACAGCACAAAGGGACCTTGTCGCTTTAGTTCCATTTGCTCTTTACATAGGAAATAATTTTCTTTTAATGCATGATAACGCTCGATCACATGTTGCACGTGTTGTCCATGAATATTTGGACGAGGTTGGAATACAAACCATGAACTGGCCACCCTGCAGCCCTGATCTCAATCCCATAGAGAATTTTTGGGATATTATTGATCGTCAACTCAAGAGCCGACAATCACAAAGTTTGGGATGGAATTGATAACACCAAATACGCCGCTTGATTTTAAGTGTGCCTCGTCGCTGTGAAGAAGTAATTAAATGTAGAGGTGGAAATATTCGTTATTAAGTGTTTTTGAGAAAGGAAAATTGTTAAAGATTATTTAGATTATGTTTTTTTACGCTTCATTTGTATTAATTGTCAATAAAGTTAATGTAAGTAATGTTTTCTTTGCGTTAAATGTTAATAAAAACTTATAACATTTAAAGTTGTGTATAATCTTTAATAATAGAGATATCGAGATAATTTTTTTACGAAAATGTTGAAAAAGAACAAATCTATCTTAAAATTTTAATAAAATGTAGCATTTGTTGCTAATAAATTCCACAGGGTGTTACACAAAACTATGAAAAAACACAACTTTATTTTTTCACCCTGTATACGGGTAATACGTTGAAATTTTTTTATAAAATATTAATACATTGATTTACTAGAAATAGACCTATAACATGAAAAAAACATCATCAAAATCCAAATCGAAAAAGCCTTTGATAGTGCCACATACACTACTATTTCAATGCTTGGACTCAGTTGGTCCGGACGTGTTATGTCACCGATGTTGTTTAATGCTTACACTGAATCAATTTTTGAGATAGCGTTAACTAATTGTCGCAAACGTGTTAAAATCGGTGTTGAAATTATTAATAAGATCAAATACGCAGATGACACCGCCATAATGACAGAGAGTCTAGAAGATCTTCAAACCCTGTTGAACGCTGTAAACAACAAATGCACTGAAAAGGGCTTAACAATCAATGCAAAGAAAACATAAGGAATGGTGGTCGGAAAATTAATATCGAAACCTCAATACTAAAATTAGATAACAAAGTCTGACCCGCTTTGTTATATAGATGTGAAAACTGGACAACAAAAATAAAACATCCTAATAAATTAGAAGCGTTCGAGTTGTGGTGTTACCGTCATAGTCATATGCTCAGAATTCCGTGGACAGCACACATATCTAACGAACATGTGCGAGAGACCTTGCACAAAGAGCGAGAATTGATCAACATCATCAAAATGAGAAAGGTCCCAATACTTCGGCCATATAATGAGAGGACTTAGCCAATGCTTGAAAACAAGCACGGCAAATAAAGAATAAGATATGTTAAATAGTTGTGGAGACAGTATACATCCTTTTCTGACATTTTGTTCTGCATGGAATTGATTTGAGAGTGTGTCAAGCATCTGTTCCAGTAGTATGTTCGTATAGTTCAGATTGTAGATAATAGAAATTTATTGTACAAGTTATGGGTATGTATTATAGGTTGTTTTAATTTGTTATATTTTATATTTTACATTTATTATACAAGACATAATGTAACTTACGTATCACTTCTTTGGATTGAATCTTCTAATAAAGGATCGACCGCAGGAGCTGAAATACTTTCATCAACAGATTCATTTACTTGAGTGGAAATTCTTTGCCTGAGTTCATAATCATTTCTCTCTTCCGATGTACTTTCTTCTCTTGTTTTACTTTCTCTATTGGGTTCTTTCTTATTCGCGTCCTCCTCTGCCTATAAAACAAAAAGTATATAAGTGAAAAAATATTTATAGTATGTTATTTTATATGAACAATTTAGTTATATGTATACATAACTAGCTATAGTTAACTAACTAGTTATAGTTATATAGTTATATACAAGGTTTGTAAATATTTTTATCTGTACAATTTGATGATGATGTCTAACTTGCTTGACAAAATATTGTTCCTTTATGAGATGCAGTATTTTCAATTTCGATACTGCATCTCATAGATAGTTATTTTCACAGCCTGATATCTCTTTAACGATATTTTGCAGCAAATTCAAGTAATTTCATCATCATCATCACCCAGCCCTTTGCGTCCACTGCTGGACATAGGCCTCGCTCATTTTTGTCCATTGTGCTCTGTCTTGAGCACTTTTCATCCAATTTCTTGACATGTTGTTGAGATCGTTAGTCCAACGTGTGTAGGGGGTCTTCCTCTTATTCTTTTGTTTAACCTCGGCCTCCACTCAAGCAATCTCTTCGTCCACCTTTCATCAGTGATTCGGGCGACGTGTCCGGCCCAGTTCCATTTCAGTGTGGCAATTAGGGAAATTACATCGGTAACTCCTGTTCTTCGTCTTAAGTCTTCATTTCTAACTCGGTCACGAAGCGATATACTCAGCATTGATCTTTCCATTTTCCTCTGAGCTATTTGCAGCGTTTTAGAACTTGTAGCTGTCAATGTCAAAGTTTCGGCACCATAGGTCATCACAGGCAACACACATTAGTCAAATGTTTTACGTTTTAAAGAAATTGGTATATCGCTTTTAAAATGTCTTTGAGTTTTCTATATTTGCTATGCTAGGTTTATTCTTCTTCGTAGTTCGCATGTTTGGTTGTCTCTTGTGATCTTTATTTCGTGTCCAAGATATATGTATTTTTCCACCAGCTCTACTTCGTTGTCTCCAATATTGATATTTCCGCTAGGTACTAGATTTGTCATAAATTTTGTTTTGAAGATGTTTATTTTAAGACCCACACTGGCACACACTAACCGAAGTTGAAGTTCATGTAGCATTGTACATATTTCCTTGAGGTTGTCCGAGAACAAAACTATGTCGTCTGCGAATTTCAAATTTGTTAATCTTCTACCGTCAATGTTCAGGCCTTTCTCTTCCCAGTTAAGTTTTTTACAAGCATATTATCAAGTAATTTAAAACGCACAAAATGAGCAAAAATTAATTTTTCGCTATCGCTTCAGGCGTGAGGCCTGAGGGCACACGGGAAGAGATACTTATTTGTATATTCTGCATCACTAGCAAAATTGTCATTTTAATACAAATTTTTCAATTCCTTAATATTTTCTATGTAAAGTGTATATGGATTTTTATTATTTGTTACTAATTAACTGCCACCGACCTCGATGTGGTTATATACTTCTTACACTCTGTTCAAAATACATACTTTTTGAATTATTTAGTGTGTTTCATTTTATTATTGTATGTGGAAGGTCGCATCTACCTTTGAGAACTCCGGAGCTGGCTGAATTTCTGTGTGCAAATATAATCTGAATGACTATTTGTTAATTTCAAGTAAACTATTTGACCATTTTGAAATAGTTTACGCAACAGTAATCAAACACAAAAAAATTGTTTTATAATTCAAACTCTAATAAAATGGCATAAAAAAAATTATTAAAAATTCTTTATAAAAGGTATATAATTTAAAAACTCAATCGGGCTATATCACAAAACGTTTTCGGAATCCATATTCCATCATCAGTGTTGTAACATTTTTTTTATAATTAAAATATTAAATTATTTTTAATTCCTTTACCCCTGTTGCTGATACGCATGGTCGTATTCGCAAAGTTTGTTAAATTTTGGAACGTACCGACTTCTCAGATTACGAAAGGTTCCTAATCCTTTCCTTTCTAATCCTGAGTACGAAAGGAACTAATCCTTTCCTTTCTTTTTGAAAAATTTGTTAAATATCGTCGAACGCACGTTTATAGTAATTTGCTGTAATAACTTAATCCAAAAGATTTTACTTTCCTGACGTTCCCAATGACTAGTACCGTAATTACCTCGAACCTTCCGATGTCGTTAGGACCTTTTTATCTTCGTAGAAATACATACTGTCTGGCCTGTCATTTTTAACTGGAAGTTACGCCACCCTTTTTTGGGGGAGCTTGTGAAATTTTTAGAGGAACCACATTACTTCTGGCAGGACAGTATTTGCGTAAGGACGCTCGCCATATCTTACCGTCTCTGTTCTCTGTGAATTTTTGTAAGTGTGTATAAACTAAAATATTTAAGTTTGTTAATCTAATACCATATTACATTAAATATCGTTATAGAGTACCTTTAATTTTGATTAACTTCAGTGCTTGATACAAAAAGTATTGGGCGAATCTACGTTCAACCATTTCTTCACCTGTAGTTAAGGTTAACTACCGATTTAACAATTGAATTTAAAGAACATTTAATATTTTCCTACGAACTTTCCATCAGCTATTAAGAACTTCTAAATTACGAACATTTAATTCTCAGTTAATCATTAAATAACCGTGCGAGATAGATAATTAACTAAGACCAAGTGCGGGTTGGTTTAATTTTTATAATACAGCATTCTGGTGACCTTTTTGTATTCTTGTGAATTAAAATTTGATTAATTTTTGTTCTTTGCTATAATTGTTACACATTTTTAGCCCGGTATCTCGAGATATGCCCATTTAACAGCAAAGAGAGACTTTCTTTAATCATCTTTAGTTGAATATTTTTAAATAGCACAAGACTCTCTTCGCTGATAATTTAAACTGTGCATGATTTTGATATTTTGTCTTTGTAAAGGTAATTATTATTCGTAAAACTGTTTATTTTTATATGTATACCACCATTTAATAATTGATGGTGTATTTTTATTACTTGTGTGTACCTACAGCCGCCTATATCATTGTGTTGTTGAATGTATTGTTTTTGTTTTATGTATGAATTTTATTTGTCAACTCCTAACAAGTTTCCTGATATAACAATACCTCTGAACATTTGTTAATTATATTAAATTATTATTATACCTTCGACCAGAAGAAAGATCAGGCTGATTAAGTTTCGTAGGTAAGTAGGTGGACGGAGTCCACCTAATATATTTACTATTTGTTTATGTAGAGTGTTGACCAAATTTATTTAATTATTAGTTGTTGATATCTTTCCTTGAATTTGGTCTCAGAACCTAAATATCTTTCCTTATCTCTTTTCTAAGGTTTCTTAATTTTCTCCTTAAATCCCAAAAAGTTAAGTGTCGCCCTGTTTCTATCTTATCTTTGGTAATTTTAACCATCTATCTTTTTGTTTATTTCTGTATCTTTTCTAATATATCTTATCTTGTCCTATCTTTACTTACTTCGTCCGTTAGACCCATTCCCGGTTCCAAAAGCTAGTTTCGAACCTACGAGTCGCTCTCCACCAACCATCTGGCTGCCGTCCGCAGTATCTCCATTGTTGACCTTTCTAGCACCATCCAAAAATGGTTCCAAGGTTACAGTGTCTAGGTATACATGTATTGAGCCACTAAATATGTGGGTAAAAACCCGTTAAAAATTTTTTGTTTAACGGGTTTTTACCCACATATTTAGTGACTCAATACATGTACACTGATGATGGAATATGGATTCCGAAAACGTTTTGTGATATAGCCCGATTGGGTTTTTAAATTATATACCTTTTATAAAGGATTTTTAATAAAAAATTTTGTGATATATGGTATACAGCCAACTACAGGAACTTAGATTCCTTGCGGATTTTAAAATGGCATAAAATTTTCACATTTGGCTGAATACAATCCTGTAAGATTTGTCATTCTTGGCATGCCCAAAAGCCAATATTAAAGGAGGCCTTGTTATCTCTACTACTCTGTGTAACGATAAAGATAATCTAGATATTTATAGATATAAGCGCGCCACTCACGTTCCAACGCCGCAGTACGATTCTGTCGAATGCTAAAAAATTTAACGTAATTTGATCGTGTATTTGCACCATTCGACCAAATCGGCGCGATTTGATGACAGACAAAAAAGTCAATCTGCAGCAGTACGACAGAGTTGGTTGGATTGTAAATTTGATCTTATATATTGTGACAACGACAAAATCTTACGACTAAAAAAAATCATTTGCTGGTAAATTTCGAAAACGGCTTATAGCTAGAGTTTTTAGATAAAGAACAGAGTGTCTTTGGAAAATAAAATCGACATCATATTATGATAAAACCGCTAGAAAAAAGCTGTGAATATTTTGGTTGCTAAATTTCAAGAAGTGAAAGTGGATACTAATGAAGAGTTGGTAAAAAAGAAAATTCATAATTTTCTAACATGTTACAAAAGGGAATTAAAATTATTTGAATATAATCCCAATTACTGTAATAAATGTACGTGATAGTATGTATGTCTTTTAAGCAACCAATCTTTGCTCCACCTCCTACGTTTCTTGTATTTTTTTCGTTTATACAAAGAGCAAAATCGGTACGTGTGTGTTCCCATCCGATTTTCAACATTATTGTACAAAATTGTACTACGCCGTTGGAACGTGAGTGGCGGGCTTAAGCCGAGTCTATATCTCTCTGGTCTTCTTCGCTTGGACTTTGATTTCTTAACCTATTGGTAATATTTTCCCAGTACTCTTTTGCAGCAGTTGCATCTCTCAGCTTATGTACATTCCATTTCTTTGCATCCATTTTTTTTCTTTGTTGGAATTTGAATTCTAGCCACTAAACAGTGGTCTGAGGCTATGTTTGCACCTCTATAACTTCCGCAGTTCATATGTCCGTTCTCTCTTAAAAAATTCTCGCTAAATGAAGCCGTGTCGATTTTCTGTATGATCAAAGCAAGTGTGTAGTTAAAAATGTATTTTTGCAGTATCGATAAATTGTAAACGGTCACACACGCTCAACAAATTGATGAGATCAACTCTGCAGTACTGCAGCAGACAGGCCAGTCTGTCTGCGTTCAAATTGTACGATTTTATTGGATGCACGGTCACACACGATCAAAATC